TCCCTGATAAACAGACTTGAAATTGTAGAACCGAATCCAATTAAAACACCTCTCTTTTTTTTTTTTTTAATCGTGTTTTTAAATCTTGGCCTATGAACCCATCGCCAGCTCCCGAAACGCTTCGAAAGGGTTTAATCCCACGAACACCCCCTACCCTTTTAAGGAAAACCTACCCCCCTTTTTTGGGGGGGGGAGAGAAAAACTTAACCCTTGTGGGCTTTATAGCACTTTCGAATACAAGCTTCCCGCCCCCCCCCCCCCCCCGATAGGGTGGATGGGGAAATGCTCCGGCGCATGGACTCGGCAAATGCGCCAGCTGCCGTCTTTGGCCTCATGATGCAATCTGGCGCAATCGGTTGCGTCTCGTGATGTAACCTCTTCCTGAGTCGGCCAAAGCAGCTGGTCGGGCCCAGGGGTCTCGGCGTGGTATTTCGGGACTAGCACCCCCCCCTCCTGAGGATGGCCACCTATCCTGACCCAGATTAATTAGCTTATTAGGTTAATTAGTTTAGCAAGGGAGGGGTATATCGCTTGCTCGCCACGATGCGAAAAAAAAAAAGAAGTAAAAAAGGTGTCGAGACTCTGGAAAGAACGCAGAGAAAAGCAACTAAGATGATTCAAGGCTTGGAGACTTTAAAAAACTACAAAGGTTGTAGGAATTGGAGAGGTCTAATCTAGTGAAAAGGAGGTCTGAGCGGGACACGAGAGTAGTTTTTCAATACTTGAGGGACTGCAGGCTGGACTAGAAGACCTCCAAGGTCCCTTCCAATTCTATTCTGACTGACTGAGAGGCTGCCACAAAGAGGAAGAGAGTCCACCTATTCTCCAAAGCACAGGAAGGCAGGACAGAGCTGGAAGGGGCCTTGTAGGTCATCTAGTCCAACCCCACACAGGACAAGAAGCAATGGATAGAAACTAACCAACGAGAGAAGCAACCTTGGAATTAAAGAGCAATTTCCTAACAGTTGAGGGCAATTCACCAGTGGAACAGCTTGCCACTAGAAGTTGTGGATGCTCCACCACTGGAGGCTTTTAAGAAGAGATTGGACAGCCATTTAGGCCAGAATAGAACTGGAAGGGGCCTTGGAGGTCGTCTAGTCCGACCCGCTGCTCCAACACTGGAGGCTTTTAAGAAGAGATTGGACAGAGATTTGTCTGGAGTGGTATAGGGTTTCCTACCTAAGCAGTGGGTTGGACTAGAAGATCTCCAGGTTTCCCTCCCACTCTGTTAGCTCCTTTCGAGGGTGTTAGAAGGGCCAACCAGCTCAGGACTGCTAATCTTGACTTACAATCATTCGTTTAGTGACAGTTTTCTCACACAAAGGCCGTTGCAGCCCTCTACAGTCACACGATCCAAATTTCGGGCGCTCGGCAACTGACTCGTACTTATGACGCTCCCAGCCTCCCAGGGGTCACATGATCCCCTTTTGCGACCTTCCGGCAAGCAAAGTCAACAGGGTTAAAAAAACAGGTTCACTTAACAATGGTGTGACTCACTTAACAACCGTGGCAATTCCCTGAACTACGGTGGCCAGGAAGGCCGTAAACTGGAGCAAAGCTCTTTTAAGAACGGGTCTTGCTCAGCCACAGAAATTTTTTTGGCGCCACTGTGGTCGTAAAACCGAGGACTCCC